CCCTGCCGGTGCCCCTCACTCCCGACCCGCAGCCCCTGCCAGCCCTGGGCTCCCCTCCCAGCCCCCGCCGATGCCCCTCACTCCCGCGGCCGGCTCACGGGGTGGGCCGCGCCAGCCGTGTGACCGCGCTGCAGTCGTAGAAGACGAACTCCGTCGCCGCCACCACCACGTCCTCGAACATCAGGGACAGCGCCACGGTCACGTGATCTGGGGGCGGGGCATGAGCCTTAATGCCCATCCTCCACCCCATCCGCTTCTCACCCTACCCAGAATCCTCTGCAAAGAGCGGCTCTCTGTCCGCCATTGGCGTCTCTCCCCTACCCAGAATCCTCTGCAAAAAGCAGCTCTCCGTCCGCCATTGGCGTCTCTCCCCTACCCAGAATCCTCTGCAAAGAGCGGCTCTCCATCCCCCATTGGCGTCTCTCCCCTACCCAGAATCCTTTGTTCCATTCCCATCCCAGTGCGTGCTGGTTGATGGGGGGAGGACCAGACCCTTCCTCTGTCTCTGCCCCATTCACAGCCCCCCTCCATGCTGACCTTTGCCCTCCTGGCTGGGCGGCACCTGGGGGCTGGGGGGCGAGCGGCAGCGGACCCAGGCGTCCTGCAGCAGGGCGGGGCTGTCCTGCTCCCCGAAGGCGCAGTGGTAGCTCTCACCCTCAGCCAGGGGGGGCAGCCGGGGCACCCACAGCGAGACCTGGGGGAGGGAGACATGGAAGGGTGTCACGGATCCAAGGGGGTGAGCCTCCCAAAACGCTCCTCCTTCGGCCCCACCCACAACTCCAGCTCCGCCTATCTCAGCCCCACCCACAGCTCCCAGCCCCGCCCATTCCACCCCGCCCACAACTCCAGCTCTGCCTATCTCAGCGCCGCCCACGACTCCAGCTCCGCCCATCCTGGCCCTGCCCACAAATCACAGCCCCACCCATTACACCCCCACCCCAACTCTCGGCCCCACCCACACGCAGCCCCGCCCATGACCTGGCCCCACCCCTCCAACCCCCACCTCTCCTAGCCCCTTGATCCCGCCCCCTCCCACAGGCTCCTCCCCCAGCCGCTCACGTCCGTCTGCTCCTCGTGGCTCTGATTGGCCGGCATCACCATCTCGACGCGCAGGCATTGGCTGCTGGCCTCGTAGCTCCACAGCCATTGGTCGGCTGCCTCAAAGCGCTCGCACTCCAACTTGCGGGTGCACCTGCCGACCGGCCAATAGGGTGAGGGGACAGTAGAGGGAGCAGCCGATTGGCCGGGTGGGCGCGTCCATCACCTTTCACCACAGGCTGATAGCCCAGGAGCCCCACCCACTGCCCTCATAGCCCCGCCTCCCCACCCGGGCTGGCTGCTTTTATGTAGGTCCTATATAAACAACGGCACCTCGTTTCTCTTTTCGTGCACCTCATTGCCCCTCCCCCCGCTAAGCAATTGGCGCTTGGTGTTTGTGTAGGTCCCACGTAAACGAGACTCACCGGCCCTGCAGGACGCACCAGCCGCAGAAAGGGTCCCGGGCGCGGAGGCAGCTGGCGCAGTCCTGGAAGCGGGGGCACTCGGAGACCGGGACCTTGGTGACCTGGGTGCCGGGGGGGGGCAGAGAGTGAGGACAGGGACAGAGACCCAGCCCCCCCGAGACGCAGCCACCTCTGGGGCGGAGCAGCCTGGCCCCACCCCCCGCCCCCCCCGAGACGCAGCCGCCTCTGGGGCGGAGCAGCCTGGCCCCACCTTCCCGGCCCCCTGTGACGAACTGGGTCTGTTCTTACTGTGGTCTGTGAATGCTGACAGGGGAGTGTGGCTGGGATGGTCGGCCTTGGGGGATGGGAGACTGACTGAAAATACCTGAGCCTGTAACATGAGAACCCAGGAGGGGCTGGGACCAGGTGACACCTTTGCCCCGGAGACTGAACAAAGGCTGTGGGTGGGGTCGCTGAAGGCAGGGTCTGGGAAGCTGGCTGGTGAGGGGGCTGGAATGCAGGGAGGGCTCTGACCCCAGGAGGTGGGCTGGGGTGCCCAAGGACCCCAAGATGGACCTAACTGTGGGGTATCCTGTTGTCTGTGCCTGCAAGGCCTGTCTTGGACTGTATTCCTGTCATCTAAATAAACCTTCTGCTTTACTGGCTGGCTGAGAGTCATGGTGAATCGCAGGACGCCGGGGGTGCAGGGCCCTGAGTCCCCCCATACTCCGTGACAACTGGTGGCAGCGGTGGGATCTACTGCACCCCGTGGACGGCGCTTCCTGCAGTAAGTGACTGGGGAGAAGTAAAACGAAGGGGGATTGACGGGGACCAGGCGTGCTGAAGAGTCAGAGAGAGACGGTTATCACCCCTGGGAGTGTGTGACCAGCGAGAAGGACTTTTGCAGTAACAGGGTCCCCCGGGGGATCGCAGCGAGTGGTCCCGGGGCGGAGAAGTCTGCAGCTCGACCCTGGCAGAGAGGTGGTGACCTCGAGAAGGGCTGGCACACTAGGGGTCTCCCTGGAGACTGTGGGGAGCGGTGAGCACACAGGCCTGTGAGTGACTAGCAGGAAGATGTATGCCAAGCGGCTTAAGAGTGACCTGGTGGAGCTGTGCAAGCAGAGGGGGGTGCGCATTGGGAAGCTCACCAAAGCACAGCTCATTGCCCAGCTGGAGGAGGGAGATCGCGCGAATGAACTGATCCCTGTCTCTGAGGGAAGCAGCCTGGCAGATGCAGCGCAGGCCCCAGTGTCTGTCCCAGCTGGGAGTGGTCAGCCGGCTGCTGAGGGCTTCCCGAGACCCCCCCTTCCTATGCCTAGGGGAAGGGTGGGGAGGAGCCCAGCAAATACCGAGGGCGCAGTGACCCCCCCGGCCAGCAGGGGATCCTCCCGGCCACGCGCGGCATCCGTGGAGCGGAATGAGCTGGAATGGGAGATAGAGCTAAAACTGAGAGAGCTGGAGGATCGTGAACAACAGAGGCGTCATGAACGGGAGGAGAATGAGAGACAGAGACAGCATGAAGAGAGACAAAGGCGTCATGAACAGGAGGAGAATGAGAGACAGCGTCAGCAGGAACTGGAACTGGCCAGGCTGAAGGGCCGCGGGACCCCGGCTGCGGTGAGTGAGGGGGGACCCAGGACTGCACGGAGCTTTGATAAGTGCATCCTGGCCCCACGTAAGGAGGGGGAGGACATGGATGACTTCCTGGATGCCTTTGAGACGGCCTGCGAGCTGCACCAGGTTGATCCTGCGGACAGACTCCGGGTTCTCACCCCCTTACTGGACCCCAAATCCGTGGCATTGTACCGCCAACTGGACGAGGCGGAGAAAGGGGACTACGAACTATTCAAAAAGGCCCTGCTACGTGAGTTTGGGCTGACTTCTGAGATGTACCGGGAAAGGTTCCGGAGTCAGGATAAAACCCCTGAAATCTCATATCTGCAACTAGCCGTCCGCATGGAGGGATATGCCAGCAAGTGGGCTGATGGGGCCCAGACAAAGGAGGACCTGGTTAAACTGCTGGTATTGGAGCAACTGTATGAGCGGTGCCCATCCGACCTGAGGCTGTGGTTGGTGGATAAAAAACCAGAGAACCCGCGACATGCAGGCCGGCTGGCCGATGAGTTTGTGAAGAGCCGGTCAGGGGCTGGCAGGGAGGAGTCCCAAAGGAGCAGGCCCGCTGCCATGCAGAGAGAGAGTCACCCGGGTACCTCCCAAAAGGGAAATGTGGGGAATCCCCTCCCATGGGGAATGCCCAGGGTCAGGGACAACCGACCGGCTCGAGGGGACACATGGGACATGGTCTGCTATCACTGTGACCAGAGAGGTCACATACGGGCCCAGTGCCCCAGACTCAGGGACAGACTGAGCAGGCCAGACCCACAGAGGGTTGACTGGGTAGAGACCCAGCCGGGCGAGAGGCGGCACTCCCAGGGAAGGAGGGCTGGCAGAACACCACCTGCTAAGGAGGAAGGAGAGCTCCAGGCCAGCTCCTCTGGGGGGCTGGATGCTCCAGACTCAGGGTTTTTGGTTTATACGGTGGGCGCGGGGCGGTCCCTCCGGAGAGAGTACCTTGTTCCCCTGGAGGTGGATGGGAGGAAGGTCGATGGATACTGGGATACGGGCGCAGAGGTGACACTGGTCCGGCCCGAGGTGGTGGCCTCAGATCGGATGGTGCCCAACACCTTCCTGACTCTGACGGGGGTGGGTGGGGCCCCATTCAAGGTACCTGTGGCGAGGGTACGCCTGAAGTGGGGGCCCAAGGAGGGCCCCAAGGACGTGGGGGTACACCCGTATTTGCCCACTGAGGTGTTGATGGGGGGGGACCTGGAGGACTGGCCAAGCAACCCCCAGAATGCACTGGTTGTGACCCACAGTCAGAGCCGGCGAGGAGCACTGCGCCCTGACCTTGGGGAGGGTGCCTTGCCCGAGGCGCAGGACCCTAACCTGGTGGGGAGGGAACGCCCAGGGACACGGCTCAGGGAGGCTGCGGCTTCAGACCCAGCCGGCGAGAGAGAGCAGGTGGCCATCCCTGTCCCAGCTGCGGAGTTCCAGGCCGAGGTGCAAAAAGATCCCTCCTTGCGGAAGATAAGGGACCTGGCCGACCTCGGTGCGGTACAGACCATGAGGAGAGGTGGCCGAAAAAGGTTCCTGTGGGAGAAGGGGTTCCTGTACCGAGAATGGGCTCCCCCAGGGAAGATGGAGTCAGGGGGGATCAGGAGGCAGCTGGTGGTACCCCAGAAGTATCGCCGCCAGCTGCTGTACCGGGCCCATGACATTCCCCTCTCAGGGCACCAGGGAACCTGGCGTACCCAGCAGAGGCTGCTACGGAGCTTTTACTGGCCTGGGGTCTTTGTTACTGTCCGGCAGTACTGCCAATCCTGTGACCCCTGTCAGAGGGGGAGGAAGGCCCGGGACAAGGGGAAAACGGCTTTAGGACCCTTACCCAGCATAGAGGGGCCTGTCCAGAGGGTGGCCAAGGTTAAAAGGGGGGCTCTGAACCAAGAGAGCCCGAAGCACAGACCTCCAGACTGGAGTGCTGGGAGAAGACCCCAGCCCAGTTGGAACCCCAGGGGTATTGGGGTGGGAAAAGGGCACAGGCCGCATAACCCTTCCCACATGCGAACTGCGAATGCCCTCGAGCACCCCGACCTAAGGGGGGGGCGTGAAACTGGAGGGGCCTGGTGTAATTCTCACCAAGGAATGGGAGGGATGCGGGGGCATCCATGGGAACGGGGGTAGGTTCGAACTTCCCCGGGTCACTGGCT